TCTTGTAAATTGTAAAGGATTGTCACGGTGTGCTTTTGTAAACAAATTTGAACTACAGGAATTAAAATGTGTAAGCATTATAGATTGTAATGTTGGATTAGGATGAAATGTAAACTATCTCATTTGTTAAGTGTACTTTTGTTCTTACCACAGTGCAAAGGTTTGCTGTGTCAGAATTGGACTCAGATATTGTGTAAGATATCATTTCACACTTTTGCCCGTAGTCGACCTCCTAAAGACCACAAGCACTGCCAAACTGGCTTCCTTTAAAAAAAAAAAAATTATGATTCAAATTTTCAACATGTTTTCTGTGGCAAACACCGAACAATGTGCATAGGTTGATTGCTTCTCAAATATGCAGTGTTTATGGTGTGTTTCTCTGAGTCCCCTGTTAACTACTCTATTTGGTCAGTGTGTTAAATGAGAAGAATTGTGGGTAGTGAGAGCAGGCCGATGCGTATTTGTCTGAAGTGTGATTAAGTGTCTGTTCTCCCCTTACACACACAACACGATGTGCAATCATGCTATTAGCACTATGTGGTGACCTGCAGTATAGATGTGTCACCGGTCCAGTGAGATTGTCTGTTCTTCTTCCATATCTAGAGGCCGTTAAAAGAAGCACCTGCTGCTAAGAGCACCTCAAGCCTTTGTGATCATCAGTGCTTTAACCAATCAGTGGGTTTCTAAAACCCCAGGCCTCCAAGTGCTTTCTGCTCATTCGACATGACTACTGTAAAGACGCAGTGTTTGTGTTGCTGTTTGTTCTGGTGATGCTTGGATAATGTACCATGCTGTCCTTAACTAAGTGTGTCCTGGCCAAGGATGTCCACTGCTCCCTGGGTTCGCTTCTGTCTCTCTCTCCTGTACACACTGCAGTGTTGCTCCTCTTTGTTTCTATGTGACCAGTTCATGGACTCTCACCATGTTAGGACTGTAAGATATGATTTTGTATTCCTTTAAGAGTTTTACACTACTTTAAATTATTAATTTGCACATTAGGTACAGATGTAAATATGAAAAAAAAAATAGTTTATTGTTACAAATATGGTGTGTCTGCGTCATTTTTTTGTTTTTCTTCAAGAAGGTTATCATAAAAAATCTAGAGATTAATGATCAGTGCTATATTCTCACAGTTTAGAGTTAATAAGTAACCAGGGAGATCAAGTTGTTTAGGTTTCTCTAGATCCACATACACAACAATACACTTTTTTGCTATTATGTTTTCTAGTGAGACCTAAAAGCAGACAATGACTAGTTGAAATTACACTATTAGAGTACCAGAACTAATCAAGACTAAATATGGTTATGGTGTTTTACACAACAGACACTGAAAATTATTATTTGAACTTTCTCACTTTTTCCTGGAAAGTATAATTGGTGATTAGCAGAGTTTAGCGGCAGTGTTAAAATTAATGCAGAAGAAAGCAAAAGGGCAAGATCCTATGATTCCCATAATGCAACTCAGTTTCTTTTATAAAACATTTCTGCCTGGTCTCTCAAACTCCGCGCCTCAAGTCTGTAATGCAAGTCTCCGAGCTGAGGCCAGGGTTAATTTCTCTTCGGATCCTCAGATGATGACTCAGTTACAACTAAACTGATCTGTAAAATCCGTGCAGTGCCCCTTTAAGAGGCCATCTGATTTCATAGAATAAGACATTTTTCATGGTTATTCATAAAACTCAGCATTAATGGGAAAGGTAATGAATCTTGCGTCAGCTTTTTGAATTAGTGGATCAAAACAGAATGAGGGGAAAATTTCCTCCCATATCGGTCTGAGGTTACAGACATGAAATTCTTAGGAGTGAACTGCCAAGTAGGGCAGCATTCCAGACCGAGAGCTGTAACTCTGCCTTATTCCTCCAGAGACACTCCTACTGGCAGGAGCATTGACGCCATGCAGTGAAACAGGCCTTCGGAAAGCAGCAGAAAATCTGGAAGTGCTGTCATGTGAAGTGTCATCCGTCCCTGCAATGGTTAAATCTGGGGAGTGTAGCTTGCTGCATGCTGCGTAAGTCACATATCAAATGCTAGTGAGCGCTACATATAAATGACTCAGGATGCTGAAAGAGAGGTTTAATCATTTATGTATAAGAATGAATTTAATCACAGCTAAATTTAATCTTCACATGCAGAAAAAAGCAGCTTGTGAGAACAACAGAGTAAGAAAGGTTTCAAACGCTTCCATTCTGATCATGATTATTGATTTTACACAAGATTTAAAAAATATAGTATGTGCTTGGGGTTGTTTGTCGGTCAATTGGTCCTCCACCTTAGTCCAGACATAAATATCTCAACTGTTGGGTGTATTTTTTGACATTCATGGTCCCCAGAGGATGAAACTTTATGACTGTGGTAATTCTTTGACCTTACGGGTCTAAGTACAAATGTGAATGCACCCAAGACGCTTTGAGGATGCATCGAGATCAGATCGTTCAGACCACATTCAGAGGTAATCTGGGCTGCATGTGACCACATTCTTACAGCAGTATATACGCAGTGTGTCCAGAGCCACACTGAAGGACCGTCTACTCAACTGACATCTTGTAAGTACACGCAAAACATGCTGTCCAATTACCATTTGGTTCATGCAAATTTTGTTTTTGTTCTCTCACCTGCTAAGATAAGCAGCAGATGTTTGTGAACACACTCTGTTTGATCTTTCTCCATTTAACTAGTAACTGCAATATGCCCATAATCCATCACAAATATTGCACAATTTTGAGAGTTGAATTAGGAGAAACTTTGAAATATAAACACTGCAAAATGGCTATGGCAAATTGTTAATCATTTGATTCAATACATTGTTCTTTCTTTCCTTGTAAAAATCATTGTTGTAGCATCGCTCTACCAGTGGCTAGTCTGTGTCAAAAGTGCATCTTACCTGCCAACATTTAATAGCTGTTTGAACACACTGTTTCAACTGATTTCACCATTTACTGTAAATTTAAGAATAAAGACAACATTTAATTGATGGTGAAGATGTCAAATTTGACAAATTCAGTCAGTGAAGAGGATCTGTTTATGGTTATATTGATTATATCAGCAACAAATACACATTTCTATAGTTCTATAGTTTCATCTGTAGAATATGTCACAGATCTCTTTCAGATTAAAACCTCTCTAGAGTTTCTGTGGACAGAATACATTCATTTGTTAACAAGGCTTTTATTGTATTGTATTTATCAATGGCAAACTCAATGTAGAAAAACTGGGCTGGCAGCAGCTCAGCAGCAGAAACGCTCATGCTAACATACTAACCTAAGATGATAAAAGGGGAAATATTTTTGCATGTTTAGCATTGAGCTCAAACAGCAATGTGTCAAAGTGCAGCCTCACAGAGCCGTAGACTCAAAGGTCCTCTGAAACTATAACAGCAGTCACAGATTTTACAAAGTGAAGAGAGAAACAATGGCCTGTCACTTTAAAGTATAAACAGGGTAACAAATCAAATTCTGATTCAAAGTCTGTCAGAACTCTTTATTACCCAAGAACTCATGAGCTCTAAAAAGATTCAATCTGTTCAAAAAAAAAGTTTTAATAAACAGTCTATGAGTATGAGGTAAAATTAGCCTTGCTTTTTCCAGAATCCACAGTCCATACAGCAGCAGCTGACTGAGTTGGTGGAGTGAGAGTGAGGAGAAGGTTGCTTAGTGGGCAGCAGCCTGTTATGTGTGGGATGAATTGCATACTTCTGACTGAGCGTATAGTCTCGTGACTAGGCTGCAGTGTGGGCTAGACTCACTTCTCCAACTGTTGATCCATGTTTCAGGTCACGGTTGTGGACTGCGGCTGCTAATAATATGGAATGACTTGTTAAGTTTTGAAGATGAATTACATCTCCACATGATGTCTAATGTTAGTCACACAATTGCACACGAGGGCCCCTTTCTTCAGAGCAATGTATCCCGAGCTCTTGTATCCCACTTCTCCCATAACAAGCACTGAATGAGACAGAATGCATTGTCTTCTTTCCTGGATCCCCTTTTCTCAGAATTTCCTTTGAATTTGCATGAGGGACCTCCCTTTGCTTTTCAAAGCAACAAAGAGCTCTATCAGGCATACAGCAGTTGTTTGGCAGGCCTCTCATCCTCTCAAACAGAACAGCACAGCCTCCATGTTGTCAAATTCACTCAACTCATTTCAAATCAAGATTCATACAAAAAAAAAACAGGATACAGAAATTCTAAACTGCTTTTTACTTCCCTTTCATTTGCATCTGTCTCCCTCCTCACATAATTAGAACCCATTAGAGGCCTTAACACAACACAATAGTTCATAAATATTGATTTTTATGGTAAGCAGTTGTCTCATTAAGACGGTGAAATTAAAACGTGGGACCATTACGCATATCCATGGGTATATAAATTGAATATTTAGATCCTCTTTGTACTATTCTCATCATCTATTCTCGTCAACTAGATTGTAAGCCACTCTACCTGACAGTATTTACATTGCTGTTTTAAGCAGGTTGCTGGCTTTGATGCCTCTGCTGCAGTGAGTGGTAATGCCAAACTCCCCCCCACCTCCCATAGCTAAGCCTTGTTCTCAGCCAGTGCCAGCCTCCAATGTCTGAGCTCATCCCACCCGCTCTGCAGGATCTAGCGCCAGCCCTGCCATGCACTGCACTCGAGAGTGGGTGGCATCACATGGCCCTTCAGCCTGCCTTCTGGGTCTTGGCATGGAGGAAGAGGGACATACACACACACATAGGCCTCTGTGTGATTAGGACCGCTGCTGCTGCTGACCACATCTCTCCCTCTTTTTCTATGGATTAATTCCACTGAGTCTTAAAGTCAGCGATGCCCACACACCTCAGTGGAGCAGAGACCCTTTCCAGCCCACAAAGCCTCCCACGCTCTAGAGTTTGAGTGTGTCTACATTGGGTGCACCAATCAGCGCCGGGTAACACCGCCCACCCACCCACCGCCTCATCCTCATCTTCCATTTCTCACATACTGTAAAGTACTTTCCTCTCAGACAATGCATTCAAAATAACTCACAGTTGAGTTTCTCACCAAACAGCTGAGTTTATTCTTCGTATAGGACTTCACCTGGAGATTGGGTGCTCAGGAGCTAATAATCCAAAGAAAAGGTGTGACTGAGGAGATAAATCAGTCAAAGTGAAACCAACTCCTCCGCCCCCACATCCTGTCTGCAGGGTGATATCAGCAGAGATGTGCTCTCACTGCTCATATAACTGTACCTTGCCCCACATCTGCAGCAATATAACTCACTACAGAGGGGAAAATGTGTCATCTTGAGAATAAACACGTGACTGAAAGACATGCAACCCAGCGAGAATATGTGCCTCACCCACACAACCAGCAAAACCCTAAAAAAGATTTTTCATTTCTTGTAATACCGCGAGATATGTGTGAATTAGCTCAGTGTGCGGTCTGCAGGGGGACTCTAGCGAGGCTCTACTGTTGCATGAGCAGAGGCTCCACTATCATGCTGAGGAACGATGCAGGATTTTTATATTTAGCAGCGCAATTTTCCAACATTGAAAAGCTAAAGACAATCAAAAAATTAAAGTTAAATATAAACACATAAAAATGAACTATGCAGGAGGCCCTCATGTTGCCACACAAACATGAAAAACAAGCTCTGGGAACATGCCGGCTGTGATGGCACACCAAGTTGTGTGGCGGTGCCAGGGGTGGCAGCTTGTCTGTTTGTGTAGCGTGGTGTGCTGGTAGCTCCAACCTGCCCGGAGACAGGAGGTGTACAGATTGAGCAAGGAGAACACCAGGCTCCTCATCAAGAATTTTAATGCCTTCGTTCTTTCTCTTCCTTCCTGTCTCACTCCACATCGCATGATTCATTGTGAGCAGGAAAGGCCACGCCTGTGATCTCTGCTGGTGTTGGTGGGCGCACTCGGCTTAAGAGAGGAATAAAAGCATGTCGGCAGTGATTTTGCAGAGGAGCAAATGCAGATGGAGGGAGAAACTCTGACAGAGGCTGCAGTTTGTAGTGAATCATCCATTCTTTTGAGGTTGCAAGTGCACTGGGTATATACAGGAAATTTCACACAATCATATATATCAGTCTGTTTGGCCTAAAATACAATAAGGAAGGAAGAAGTCCCCAGCGCTTGGTGCCCCACCCATTGTTGATACCCCAGCAGTTACTGTAAATATTTGCATGGGTGAAGTGAGGGAACAAGGTGTACTTCCTGTTGCAAGAATAATACTGAAGCACATGGCAGGCTTGTGAGAAAAAAGCTCCTGTAGCTCTCTGCTGTAATTCTAAAATCCTGGTTTAATGTTTAGTTCAGTTGCAAATGAGGAACTTTCTTTGAGGAGGTCTGACAAACAGATGGGTGACATTTTAAAAGGAAAAACCAACACAAACCTTAGTCTCTGGAACCAATCTCCATTCTCCCTTAGGTGTTCAATTGATTCACATCACGTTTATTCTTATCAAACCACTCAATGACCCCCCGTGTCTTTTATAAAAGGATCTGCATTTGTCACGTTTCTCAACTCATTCATGCAGGTTTTTGGAAATTAGTCACCCGTCTGTAAATCTGACATTAAAGGGAGACCATGTAACTTTAAATACACACTCTTCTCCTTAACATTATTACTTGATAGCAATAAATAACACACCTTGTTCAGCTTAATACACTCAGGGGTTTTGCCTCTACAGCTTCACTTGGTATGACCTTTAACATTTGAGGGCTAATGTTAACTAACTTAACTGACATTTACTGAGTCAGTTCCCCGACTTAAAGCAACAGTTTGATATTTTGGGATTCACTTTCTTGCTGAGAGATAGAGGAGACGTTTGATACCACTCTCATATCTGTACAGTAAGTCTGAGGTTAAGGCAGCCAACTGAGGGTTAGCTTAACTTAGCATAAAGAATGGGAATGGGGGGGGGCAGCTGACAGTTCTTCTCTTCTGGTACTACTAGCTGATGTTTCAACATCTATCATTATTCCGTAACGTGTTAGTTCTTGTTAACTGCAGCCACGTAGCCTCTGTTAAGCAACAATCACAAACTGTTAGTTTACACAGGGAAAGAAATGAGCACAAAACACGTTGTGGCTGCTTATTTTATGAATTTATTTCCAAATGTAAACTTCACTATTTCATGCATACAAGTTGTGACAACATACATTATTCAACAATCTGTTATTTTCCTTATTTGCATAGGACATGGTCACAATATATTGTCTAACATGTAAAAAATAATGCCATAAAAAGGTACAGCAGAGCAGCTAAGACCAGCACATTAACTGTGTGTAGAATCCGAGGAACTGTACAACTGTAATACTTGAATGTAGTGATTTTGGTTTGCTGAGAAAAAAACAAAAACAAAATGACACCTGAAGGTTAGAGTGAGGTCATTGGAGAATGTACTGGCCATAGCTGAGTCAAGAGTTATTTACAGATTAGATTATATTGGTGCTGAGAGGGAAAACAGCACCATGGAGTCACTACAACAGGCAACTGATGGTGATGGGCAGAGGAGAAACGCACAGAGGTATCAAGAGAGCAACATTACACTGAGGAGGTACACTGAGGACAAACAGGTACGGGAAACAGAACCAAAAGGCTGGTGAGAGGCTCTCTCTTTGTAATCAAAGGGAGGTCATTCACAGCACTGTGTGCTGCATAACCTGAAACAGACAAATCCTTTAAGGGTAAAAATATCCAATGCTTGAGCAGAGCACTTTTTGTTAGCGTGCATTTCTACAGTAAAAGCAAACACCGCACAGCGTCAGTTCAGGCAGTCAAGCAAGACCACATGGTCGGTGAAGGGTACAGACAAATATGGTCTGCTGTGCTGCATGTTCCTACTCACTCAGTCTCTCAGTTTCTTGTCTTTTTACTCATTCAGAATTCGCTTGCTCGTATGATTAAGTGGGTTTTGTTCATTCAAGTGATTTTTAAAAATAATAACAACAAAGTTGCTTATCTGAGATGTAGAAAAAAGGTCCATATTAAGTACAACTTACAGCATATAAAGTTGAACCCAGGGGTCCAAAGTGGGTTGGGTTCAAAATTACTGCAACATTCATCTTTCCCTTCAAAGCCTTTGGTTACAACCAGTTACAAAACTGTGGGGCCTCTGACGAGCTGTGAGAACTCAAAGTTCCTTCTCACTGCTCAGGAACCCCTCTCTTCTATCACGGCCGCTTCTTCAACATTATCCCCACCTTTAAAAAGCCTCAGGCCTTTGTCATCAGGGAAGACGTGGTCTGTGTGTCCTTAACTTTTAAATATTATATATTATAATACTTTTAAATATTGCATGTATGTTATTCATTCGAATTGGCTTAGCCTACACAAAGAGCCTGAAGAGAAGAAAAGAGAGATTAAACCTGGGAATTGTTGACAATGAGAAACGTACCTTGTGCACAACTCACAACGTGTAAAACCTCACAGTCAAGACAAAATTCTATTCATAACCTACAAAAACGCATCGGGTCGATGTAAGCAGCACAGTTATAGCAAATGCATTTTTTAATCCTTTGGAATGGTTGGGCGTTCAATATCATTAAGATTGTTTTTGTCAAAAATACCTGTAATAAGCCATTATACATTGCTTGAGTATTGTACAGCAAAAAAAAAAGAAGAAAAAAAATTAAATAACAAGAACCAAATGAAAAGAAAGCTACACAATCAAAATGTTTACATAAAGCAGAAAAGAAATATTACTGTACATTTCATAAAAACATGTCACACTTTATAAAACTGTACAAGTTTGTTAAATGTCTGATAGTAGCTAGGTTGTTTTGTTTTTTTTACCCATAACATTTGTATCATCTTTCTGACGTTACCATTGAAGTTTTGGCACACAATTGCATCGATCATGCTTATACGTTGAGATCAGTCGTGAAGATTTTAGTTGAGACGGCCTGATCAGTGATATATTCATGTAATTAATATGAACTCTTTAAATAAGATTGTTAGTTCTTTACATACTAGACAACAATCACTCACTTTAATGTTTTTTTTTTTTAAATTAGCAGAAAAAGATATTAACTGGTACACTGTTAGCATCTTGTAGAAACCTTGCATTTCCATTTTGTCATTGTTTACAGTTCTTTTTCTCTAACAGATGTCGAAACCTGTAATCTTACTGGGATTACAATCGTAAAGTTGGATTAAAAAAATGCTGACATGGAGTTTCATAGTCATTTACAGCTGACATCATCCCTCACATAGAAAAGGTTTAAACTAAGACAAATATATGGTTGGTATGGAGGGTATGTTTTCAATATTTTTGAAACATAAAACAGCCTAATAAAGAAAACAAGGTTTTATTATTTCCTGGAAAGGTTATTTGTTGAATCTACAAGGATGTGCAGGACCCTGACAACATGGGATGATTATATAAAACGTAGCCCAGTGTTTTTTTTGTTTTGTTTTTTACAGAAAAATGTCTCTTTCTTTCCTTCTTCATTCAAGTAGGGACAAATAAACCCACCAATTATTTGTGCTACTCTTCAAGCAAACGTAAGCTACATGATGGATGTTTTGAAAAGATATGAAGGTACAACAAAAAGTCAAATATTTCAAGAGGTATGATTTTTGGAAAATATACAAGCTTAAACATTTCATATGAAACCAAAAAAAAAAGCAATAATAAAAAGTATGACTACATTGCTAACTCACAATGCTGTGGTCTCTATTCTCATGAAAAACCTTCAAAAGAATCTAAATAATGACGAAAACTGTTGTACATAGAGGTCAGGAAGTTTCCTTTTCTTATCGTCACCCCAAACAATCCTTTCAGTTTCTGACTTAGAGCAATTTTTGGATAACAGGCAAAATAACCTGCATCCTGACATCAACAGAGTATTAACTGTTTCTGATTAAAGGGGTGAACCCCATCAATGGGGCTTAAAATTATGTTGTTGTTTTTTTTAAAAAACAAAATATGGTGCCTTTAAACAGCCCGTCAAAAACAGTCAACCATAATGCTGTGATAAATTCGAAAGAATTGCTGAAATGACCTGAAGACAATGGAAAATCTAGAACTAGAAACTCTAGAAATTAACAACAAAATAAATCAAACACACTGTACACCTTTTCTCCAGAGAGGTTAATAATTATTTGACAACAAAAGCAAGTACAGTAAAAATGGACATGTACAAAAACTGTGTTCAATGGCCTTTTGTGTTGAATTATTCAAGTAGATTTGGTACAGTGAGAATAAAGGTTATGAGACACTGCCTGTGGAGGCCTATATATGTTCACTGGTGCAGTCTGGATGGATGGACTGGGATGTTTACACTGTCACAGTCGGTTTATTTTCAGATGGTAGGAGCTTCCTGTCGCCTACTGTAAGTCCACTGACACTAAGGGTCAAAGATGTTTAAAGGGGTGTTTCACTGAAAACAGCTCCCCGAGTGCCCAGTGCTTACTAAGGCGTGTAGCAGGACTGCAGGATGTTATGAAGACATTATAGGCAGGAGCTGAGCCCGTACGGAGGCGTTCCTGTGTTTCCAGTGTGGTTGGACACTGACCAGCAGTGAGCACTAAGCACCCAGGAACACCAGGGGGAGGCTGGCAGACATTTCTGTGCAGCAACTGATGTTACAACAAAATCCACAAACTGTCCCATATCTGCTTTGCGGATGTCGACCCTGAGGTAAATGTGCAGATTATGGATTGAGAAGTGATTAATGAAATAATGAAACCTGCTTGAGGGTGAACTACTCCTTTTTTTTTTTTTTTCTTTTGCAAGAGAAAGTTACACTACAAACCAAGTCAAAAACGGACTAAAACAAAACAACAAAAAAAAGCTGCTCAACAGCAATTTGAAGAATTTGTGAAAATCAAAGATTCTTTCCAGAAATGGTCAAATGTAAAACCCTCTCAGTGCTTCTTTAACTAAGAGCTGCTGATCAGTGGCATTTAAAGTGTCATCTCGCAGCCTGGAAACTATTTTACCTTCTTACAGAGGGCTGTTTCTTTTGTTTTAAACATGGTGTTTTGAGGAAACTACTGCATTCGATCGAAACGAGGGATGTTTTCTTGCTGGAGGATGTGACAGAGCTGATTCTTCACAACTTTAAAGGGAGATGGATGCACGTGGAGAACGAGGGACAAGGCCTGCCATTGATGAACTTACACCTGCCAGACCGCCTCAAAAAACACTCAACGTTTTCCAAGGCAAAGTTGTTAACATGCATATAGTGTGAGCCGCGGTACTGCGGGGCGAGAGTCGGTTGGTACAATGAAGCTAACACATGCAATTCATGACAACAGTCTGGAGGGGTCTGACAGGACCAGATACATAGATGAAACTATTTCCGGCCATAGTGCTGAAGCATTAAAAGAAAATGTAGGCATAACACAGACTGGCTGGGCTGCAGCAGTTTTGATAGTGGTGCCCGTTTCCATGGAAGGTTTACTGTGCCTTTTGCCTGACTTATTGAGGCATGTCTGTCTAGAAACACAAGTCAGCTTTCTCACGGGACATCTGAGCTTCACAGGCAGGACGACGTGAGGCTGGTGAGCACTGCACTTTGCTGATATGTTCGTTTTGGTTCAAATGTTTTTACAACAGTTTAAAAGCCCCCTTGTTTTGCGAGAGAGAAGTTTGAAAGCAGCTGTTTCGCAGCTCTGGTTTATCGGTCACCTTGGCGTGGTGAAATGGGACTCTGCAGCAGTAGTAGAGGATTTCTCCCTGTGCTTAGGATGCAGTTGGGTACATCCCACCCACACTGCTAGCATCGGTCTAGGTAGTACTGTTGTTCATACACTTTTCTTTCTACTCTTATCATACAGGTTGGATCGAACCACTAATTACAGCCATTTTTCCACTCACAGTTACTACAGTTGGAGGGAGGGAGGGAGTTGGGGGAGGAGGAGATGCGGGGTGTCTGCGACTGGGTGTCTCCTCCTCTGTGCTGCTCAGCTTGTGATAAACCTCTCCTCTTTTATCAGGACCTGCCCTCTCTTGCCTGTCTGTTTCAGATAGCTGCTTTGTTCACTCTGTTCTCCACCGTGTCGCTGCCCAGCCCCTGGCTCTGCCCACACTCTCTGGCCTACATTTGACCCCAAGGTTAGGCAACCTTGCACGCAATTTGGCACGCTTGGCTTGCTTCACCAGTCTTTGACGGGGACAGGTAGAGCCAGATGGGTGAGGGAGAACTCCCCGGGAATGGCAAGTTACCACTCCTGCTGCGGGCTGTGAATAGCTTCTTGTGGGATGCAGCTGTTTCCTCCAGGGAGGCCACAAAAGGCAAAGCCAGGAGGAGGGAAGTGAGCAGGCTGTCTGGCTCTACCTGTGATACTGCCAAACACCAGCCCCAGGCCTCAATGAAGGGCGACTTACAAGACTGAATAAAAAGCTTTCATTCACTCTTGTCTTTGGTACTTTTTCCTATGTGCTTGAGAGAAGGATAAACATTGTTTCCACTAAAGTCCCTTTGTGTCCATTTTGTGTGAAATACCGGCTGATGATACAGCGCTTTCTTTTTAAAGAAAAAGCATGAACAGCTGCTTTGAAACTTAACTGTCTCTATTTAAAGGGTCTAACGTTTCTTCAACTGAGTGTATTTATAAAAACTGTTAACCCAATATTATCCCGATCATCCCACAATGCAGATTTACACAGTATATACTGCACACCGCTGTTTAATGAAATACATATTTAACCCAGTGTAACGGCAACTGAATATTAACGTTGCGGTGGAGGAACAGATGTATTTTGTTTACTGAGGTGGGTTTTTCTTTTTTCTTAACACACAGCGTTTACATTACATATGAACCTCCCAGAACACAAGGGAGAACAGGACATGAGTTCTGTGTACGATTGACCGTATGACCGTAGGGCTAGTTTCCTCAAACGTGAAAACCAACAAAAAAACAAAGAGTGCAAATTGTGTTGAGTGTAAGGCTGTTATATATGTATGTACTGTATGTTTCTCTTCACCATGTTCATTCTTTCAAGCTAACAAGGCCATCCCTGAGCAGGGCATAAAATTCAACCCCCGTTGAATTTCAGAGTAAAGTGATGAGTATATTGTGCAGTCAATGTGAGTACTGTTAAGTACTGTGGTATTACAGAAATAGCAACTGTCTTCAATCCTGAGGTGTGTGTGTACCCCCTCTCCTCACCCGTTAAAAAAAAACAAAGAAAAACAACTAAAAAAGATCCATTTTGATAAGACTTGTCAGGGTGTCTGTTTTTTTCTTCTTCTAAACCTTGTTTAGCTGACTGCAGACTTACATTGGACAACTAGCCATGATCAGAAGCTAAAAAAATACAGACATATGGTACAGAATGTAAATATTGCCATCTTGGAAAGGCATTACCTTCTTTTAGGATCACACAAGTAATTGCACTACAATAAGCAGTTATGTACAGTATGGTACACCACAGCAAGCGCAGGAATAGCAAAGGGGGGAGGTTGCTGACAACTGTGCAACACAAGTGTTATGACAAAAACACAGGCCTCCCAGGTCAGAGGCAGAAAGTGCGACAGGGTTTCAGTTTAAGGCGAGTTGGCTGGGCTGAGGGCTGGGCTGAGGGTGGGGCTGAGGGTGGGGCTGGAGGCGTCCGAGCGGCTGTAGTCGCTGAGGGAGCTGGGACGTGTGGTGCTGCCGCTGCTGCTGCCGCTGTGGGGCCTCTTCAGCATGCCGGGTTGGAAATCCGAGTGGCGCCGGGCGTGCTTCATCAGGTGGTCGCTGCGCATGAAACGCTTGTCACAAAGTGGGCATCCGAACTTCTTCTCCCCCGTGTGGGTGCGGTAGTGGCGGGCCAGCTCGTCGGAGCGGGCGAACTTCTTACTGCAGTCGGGCCAAGTACATGGGAAAGGACGTTCTCCTGCAACACACAGAGGAGGGAAGGAGAGATGTCGGTGTTTAATCACACAGGAAAATATATATTTTTTAAATTACACCACACTTGGGACTTCAAGCCCTCAAAGCAGTTGTAGTTTTCCACTGATTTCAGTCTGATATGAAAGTATACTGGCAAAGATGTGAAACCTGGGGTGTGGTGGCTACTGTGAGGTGTGAATATTTACACAGACAATTACATCATTGTTTGACTGTATGATATTGCAGGGGCCAAGGCAGGCTTTTCAAATCAATCCATGCTTTTCAATGGCATTAACATTCAACATTAACACTGTAACTTGTGATCTCAAACTAACTGAGTCTCTGTGAGTTGACTGATTGGATGTGATGTGTACATATTCCTGCACACTGGTGCTCACCATGTAGCAAATGGCTCACCACAGTGGGAGACGTGAGTCATTGTGGTGTTTACAGGTTACCAAGTCATGAAGACTGCCATGCATGTCTAACAAACATTTTTCGTAGAAGGCCAGGCCTGTAGAACAAGACTGTGCTGTTTTCTGCACATTGTAGACTGAGTCATCAAGGAACGTTGATCACAAGGTTATTGCGGAGTGTGATAAGAAAGTAAAGGGATGGATATCAAAACATCTTCAGAATAATTTTAAAAAAACATAGAAGGGCTGTAATGAGCCATGGGAATTGGGGTAAATCACCTAAAAATTGGCGCTGTGCTGGAGTTGCAGACACAGTTTAATTATCTAAGCTCCAGATGCTAATCACACTCACAATGGTTACCCAGCCCATTTTCCAACATACAACTATCTGTGACTTGGCACATGGGAAATTACACCCTTCCCCCCTCCATCAGGCAATAAAAGTGGGCTTTGACACAAATCTACTCAAAGCCAGATGGTTCTATATATCTTGTGGTTTTCCTTCCATTCTGATGTGGAAACAGTGCTCATGGAGCCTAAATGCAGCGCTCTGCATCCACTGGCCAATATGTCTAATACTGTACTCCCTTTAGTTCCATTTCAGTGAGTTTCTGCCTGACAATAGCTACATCCAGCATCTAATTTTACCAGCATGACATTGCAGTACTATAGGGAAGGGCAGGCCATATTATTTTAATGTTATAGTTCTTTCTTGAGAATAAGAATAATCAGTCATCATATGCAAGCCAATGCCAGGGATTTGAGGTATGAGGAGGAATAGACGGTGAGACGCGTGAATGTTTATAGGTAGCTTGACAAATGAGCACATAAGAACAGGCCTGCCAAAGGCTTTCTTTGTTCTGTGGCTTCCCTCAGGGCCACAATGGAAACAGTGCTGTTCAGCATCAAACAGTAATATGCTACCTGATGCCAGTGAGTCTCAAAAACAAGAACTTGGTGCACTACTGGTCTCGGTCCCTCCCCCCCATACTGCATGGTTACAAAACATGGAGACAGACACAGCAAGTCTAGACAGCCCGCTCTGTGTTCCTGCCTCTGACGCCTCACCTCAGCTCCAGACAAACTCTGTCGGCCCTGCCCACAATGGTTTCTGCGGGCTCACACAGGGCTCAGTGTATGTAAACTCTCTAACTGACATATAGACATTTGCATATACACATTGCACTCAGCTAAAGTATCTACACTGATCTCACCCTGCTGCTAGAGTTAACACACACAGAGAAACAATCCATCTATCCTGCATGAAGTTAGAGGTACAATTCCTAAAGAAGACAGGCTGCGGTTGTTTGACCCTGTTACACATCCTGGAGAAAAAAGGAGGCAGTTTGACTTCTAAAGCACTAATCTCATTGAAGAGACTCATGATACTCTGATTTCATACCTTATTAGCAAGACAAGCAGCCCGTGCTGCCACCTGGCACATCAAAATGAGTTATTGGCTAAAAAGTAGAGCTTAGCTCTGCGGGCTGCTTAAGGCTCAATAACCAGTGTAACGGATCCAACAACATTAATATTTAACCAGACACCAGAGAGCTAGGCTGAGATATCCAGTCTAACTGCCCTGATACAGTAATGCAGTCATAGTGGAAGCATCAGGTATCCAACAGCAACTCACCGAGACACATCAAATTATTTAAAGCTCCATGACTTCTTAGAAAATGCAAAATAAACAGATATGCTGCTTATTTTCACCGCCTGCTAAACTGCTTTTGGCATTTAGGTCACCAATATGAATATGCATTTAAAAACCCTGCTGCTTTAATGTCAGCCTTGAAAGATTCACTTACATAAAGCAAAAACACATGCCCCAATTAATTGTTGTGCTTGTTTCATAACATGAGGTTTGGGATTTCCACGAGGGCAGTAAAAAAAACAATTTCTGGTAACACTGATGAGGTTTAGGGAACAAACTCTTTGATCCAGAGTGGATATGATGATAGGGGCTATTACCCTGTGTGGCAGGAGGATGTCACTCTCTAAGATATTTCAATAGACTGCGGCTATTACTCAGCATCTCTGTTGAAAGAAGACTGCTGCATGCTACTCCTCTTACCCTGCTCTTATTCCCATCTAGTTCCAGAGCTGTTACAGCAGGGCACCGTGGCAGTCGTGACGCCAGGCCCCACCGATTGGTTATCCCATCTCTGGCAGCGTCCACATCCAGGGAGTGGTTTATCTTTCTCAGAATGTGTCGGTTGCAGAGGGCAAGTGGGGGGGGGGGGGCATGTAATGAGGGAAGCTTTTCCCTAACGAACACAGTGACCCAGTTACCCGTACCCGTTAAGTGAGTTACATCATGCACATACAAACTGTACCTCTACTAAGCACTAGTGTCCCCCCCTCCAAGGAGATACGATTATGTCACAGGTACACTTGTTATATAACTGTTCTCTCAGAGGCCAGTGGGTCAGTAAATAAACGGCTCATCCCTGCTCCTCTCCCCCCACCCATCTCTCATTCATATCTAAGAAGTTTAGGTCCTCGGTTTATGCAGAAATGGTTAAGAGGAATGGAATCTGAGTGTGTCTCCCCGGTGTAAGGGATGCTGTCTGCAAAGGCAAGATCGAATCTCTTTCTTGACGTGAGCAGCAGCGCAGGAACTCAACTCGGTCACCTGCTCCAACAACAGCTACCAGTATTTCAAACAAGAGTAGATAACATTCCTGGTGTGTCCTCAGGCATGGGCCAAACTCACACAGTGTACAGCTGAAAACCTCCATGTGAGCCTGCTATAAGAGAGCTAGAGTAAATACCTCGGCAGGGTGAGGAGGGGAGAAAAAATACAGTTCCCGTGGATACATCAGAGATCACCTTGAAGTTAACTTTGCTCTGGCTGCACAGTGACAGGAAATGTCTTTTACACAGCTCAGGGAAAAAAAACCAAGGTGCACACTAAACCTGCATGGACTTTTACAAACAAACAGCTTGAGGAGGGAAAGTAAAGCTGGAGTCAGACTGTAGATCACAGCTCATTAGAGTTGGAGCTACCTCACTTTAGCGCTGGCTTACTGACACAGTCAGCTTGGCAACAAGAAATGAGAGGGGCACCACTAACTCCAGTGGTAGGGCTCAGCACAATCCTGTAATTTGGTTGCATGTTTACAACAGACTATGACCTGTAACCAACCAGGAGCCAGCTACTCTGCCAAGAGACAACCATTCATGGGATTTTGGGTAATACCAAAATGATTGCTGAGTCCCTCATCAGCATAAACCACTGAAGCAGACAGGTTAACCCAACCGTACACTGCCACTCCCTCTAGACGCACCATCGTACGCCAAGATGATATAAACACTAACATGTGTGCAGAACAATGCATATATATTAAGCTGTTTGCAACTCGTCTATGAGTCGTTCAGAGAGCAGTATAGGCAGCCTTCGCTTGTGCAAAAATAACAACAAAGACTCAAAGTTCTGCGGTCTGTTGAAAGGAAAAAAAGGCGCTGCCTGATTTGAAACACATCTGAGATCAGAACAACTGTTTTCGTGGCTATTGAAAAATTAACTGGGGGAGAGGAATCAAAGTACCAAGAAAATCTCAAAACATGTTTTCTCAGAGGCTCCATTCAGAGTTTGTTGCAAACAAGAATAAGTCGTCTAGGCAGGAGAAATAAAGCACCCTTGGTTGGGTCAAGTGCTCGTGTTGAGGACTGGCTCAACCCAAGCTCGTCAGGAGAAAGCTCCGAAAACATGGAGCATTTGATCTACTATCATCTTTTGTCTTTATTGAGAGGCATCTTGCTTGCCGTTGAATAGCCTACCTCCCCTTGTGGGCCTATAGCTGTCAGGTTGTGAACAATAGCAGCAGCCTCGCTCCCAGCAGGAGAGGCACTCCTGTAATGCATTTCAATCAGACAGGCTGTGCGTACTAACCGTAACTCACACACCCCCTGGTCTGCGCTGCACAGGGCTATTGACATTCACCCGGAGACATACAGCGGAGTTGAGTTTGACCGTCTGATTCCTGCACACACTTAGCCATACATTACTTCATCCCCTTAACTCTTTAAGGGAAAGGCAGGGATGGCTCCCCTGCACTGACCAGCTCATCACATTTGCCTCAATTAGTTAGAGTGGGCACTCTCTTTCAGCCTTGAGTGCATGCTAAAACAACCTGCAGCCTTGATGTGTTGCAGGCAGCCTCCTTATCCTAAACCCTGGTTAACTAAGGACATGCAAACAGCTGCACGGCCATTAGTGGGTGTTTACAGTTTACAGAAGCAGGTGGGAGCAGGGATGCCCCATCATCCGTGACTCTCACTCACGCAGTACAATGCCAGCTCATTCCACTGATGGAGTCTGACACTATAGCTCATATGAGACAGACGTCCCTTACTAGTCAGTGCCAAACAAAGCATCATAGCCCTAGATCCTGAGAGGCCCCACCATACAGCGATAAAAGGAGATACAAGCTGGAGATAGTGCCAGCTGTCCAGTGTTATACCTGATACCTGACATACACTGGTGTTGAACGGGAGATAAATATTTTCATGTCTCAAAGAAAATGATTATGCCCTCCTTCCCCCTAGACTCCACAAAATGCGCCTCATCTCACGCTGAGGGCCA